CCATTTTGCATCCGTTTGCGAACCTGAAATTTTTTTTACTTTATCGAATGATCGATGCCATTTTTTTTTTTTTTAATTATTAAACAAATTACAAGTTTTATTTATTTATTTAAATTTTTAAACATTACCTAATACGTTGAAAATTATTACGTCATCGTTATTTATTAATTTTTTTTTTTTTTTTTTTTTTACAACTGATGATTATTATTTGTTGTTGTTACGTTTTTTTTTTTTTTTTAATAATGTCTTCTTTTTCCACGTTTTTTTTCTTTCTCATAATTAAAAGAAACAAGTCGTAACGAAATGTCATATTAATAATAATAATAATAATAATAATAATAATAATAAAATTAAATAAAAGGAGAATTTTCTCTCTCTTTCTCTCTCATTCTTTTCGAGTGTGTTATTATTATTATGTAAGATAAAAAAATGATATACGTGAGAGGAGAACATCAAAAAATTATTTGGGTGGTGGTGATGGTGATGGTGATGGTGGTGGTGGTGGTGGTGACGAGCGTGGGTTTTCTTTCATATTTATAAAGAATATTGAAAAATGTACCCACGTAAATATTAATTTGGGCTTTTGCAACAACCCAACTAATACCAACCACCTACTTAAACTAGTTTCGATGGTTCTTTTACCTTATTTAATTCATAATTAACTTTGATTCAGATTTATGTATGGACTTTATTGGCTGCGATGGTGATGGTGGTGGTGGTGGGGGGGACAAAAACAAAAACGTTCGTTATTTTTGACGATTTTTTTTAACCGACGTCATAATAATTCAATTCGTAAAAGTTTCGATTTTTAAAAAAATCATTATTATTATTATTATTATCTGGACTCTCCATATTAATATTAATCGTTTTTTATTCCTTTTAATTATTTAAACGGGATGTTTGATATAATAGCAGAAGAAATTTTTAAAAAAAATTTAAATTTAAATTATGAATGAATTTTTTTTATTTTCGCCCATAACGGAAATTGATGTTTTTTATTATTATTATTATTATCTGAAATCAAATTAATCGTTCGTTTATTTTTTTTTTTTATGGAGAAGAATTAAGTTTTATTATTATTATTATTTTGTACGATGTATTTAGAATTTAGAATGTTTCAGGTTTTTTATATAAGTTGACATTTTTTTTTTTTTTTTTTGCTTTAAATTATTATTATTATTTTTAAATGTTAGGCCGTAGTAGGACATATTGTTGTGGTTGTTGTGTTTGTTGTTCTGGTTGTTTCGATTGTTTTTATTTTGAAAAATTTCCGATTAATCCGTTTTAAAAAAAAAAGTTACCCTTGGTCGTCGTTTTTTTTTATTAATATGGCTCCCCCACGATGATGGAAATTATTTCTATTTATAAAAATGTCTCATTCTAGCAATTTCTATTTTTAAAACTTTTTTTAACCTTTTTTATCTCTCTCTCTCTCTCTCTCTCTCTCTCTCTCTCTCTCTCTCTCTCGAAACTATGGAAAAGGTTTTGGTAAGAATACCACCAACGAGTGTCAATTTTTTAAATGAATTGAGAAAATTGATTTTTCACGCAAATTTTCTTTTGTTGTTGTTTTCAATTTTAGTTTTTCCGAGGGGGGAACAAACTCGAGTTTTTTTTTACTAAATCGTTGCAACCTTTTTTGGAAACTTGAAAACCAGAGAGAGAGAGAGAGACTCAATGATGACGATTCTTTTTTATTTGGATTACAAAAATTTTACCAGGATTCAAGGATTTTTAACAAGGACAGGTTAAAGCCCTGATGAAAAATAATTTAAAAATGGTTCGATTCAATTGTCGTGAAGCCAGAAAAGAAAAAAAAAAAGGAGGCTCCTCTTTTCTTTAAACACACAAAAAAAAAAAGGATTATATTAATGGAGGTTTTTTTTCGGAGGGAGGGGGGTGAATTTGAAAGGGGGTGCGATTCGACACGATTGTAAAAAAGGTAATAAAAGGGCTGCGAAAATTTTTGTTTAATTTTAATAATTCGAGAAAATGAAATTGTCGAAAGGTAAACATGAAATTTTCCAAAATAATAAAATGACGTGTACAAAGACGCGAAAAAAATGGAAAAAATCCGCAAAAGTTTAATCAACCTTTGTAATTAATATTTAAAAAAAAAAAAAAATGGCGTTAATTGCGTTAAATGTTTTTAAAAAAAAAAAAATTGAATTTATCACCGTTGAGCTAAATTAATAATTGAAAAAAAAAAAAAAAATTTTTTTTTTTTATTTTTAAATTGCGTGTAATTGACCCCGCGAATTATTATTATCATCATCATCATCGTCCATCGGTAAAAAAAAATAATAATAATAATAATTTTTTCTATTTATATGCATTAGGAGGCAGCCATTACGAAATGACCCTCTAATTAACAATAACTAAATTTGTATTAATTAAAACCTTTAATTTTTTTTTTTATGTGTCAGTGATTGTGGATCCCCATTCGGTTCGTTGGGTGGATTTTAAATTTGTTTTTACGTCAGTCAATAAGTTAATAATTAAATTGAATACATAAATATATCGGACGCGAAAGATGATGATGATGATGATGAGAAAGTATTTAATGGTATTTACCCTTTGTATTGTTTTTAGAGAGAAAAAAACGAATAAATAATAATAATAATAATTTTTTTTTTTGTTACATGAACACGAAATGAATTCTCACGGGTTTAAAGGTTTTCTTTTTTTCGAATCAGGTTTAATGATATCGATAATAATGATAATGATAATTTTGTACGGGTTAACAATATGCGCGGGTATACTCGGGAGTAGCGAATAGTAAACTTTCCCTTTTTTTTTTTTTTTTATTTAAATTTAGTGGGAAAAAATTGCAAGAGTTTACCTGGGGGATTTGGAGGGGGAGGGGAGGAGGGGGTGGGATTTCGATCGTTTGTTATTTTTTTTTTTTTTAAATTTTTTTGAGATTCAATTCGTATGAGGCTCCTCAATAATAATAATCGTCCCGGAATTTTTACAATAATAAAAAATTATGTTAATTTATTCGAAAAAAAAAAAAAAAAAAAAATTGAAGGAATATATTTTAGTAGTAGGTGGAATACTATTTCACTACGCGCGTAATTAACGCAGAAAAAAAAAAAGAAATTAATAATAATGATGATTAAACTGTAATGGCGGCGGTGATGGCGATAAATTTAAATCATTGATTAAGAACTACTTAACGCTCTTTCTTTTTTCGTACCAAAAAAAAAAAAAAAATTTTAATTTAATTGTAATTTTTTGTTGGACGGTGTTACGCACGCACCCACACCCACACGCACATACGCACACGCACACGCACGTTCCCGTAATATTTATTTTTAATTCCAGTTCCAGTGCGCCGCTATCATATTCCAGAATCGTGTAAATAATCTTAATAAAAAGTTAACGATTCATTGTTTTTTTACTTTAATTTTTTCGTTTGTTCGTTTGTTTGTTTGTTTGTTTGTCGTCGGTGATAAGGTCGGTTAAGTAAAAGAAAAATTAAATTTAAAACAAAAATTTTTGTTTCTTTTCGGTTTCCGCTGTTCAGACCGCACCCACCCCCGGACGACCGACTTCGTTCGAAAGTTTACCATTTATAATCATCATCATCATCATCATTATTATTATTATTATTATTATTATTATTATTATTTCGTTTGTGATTTTCAAGTTTTTAACGGATTCGTACGAGTTATTTATAATTTTTTGACACACGTCGAGTATTTTCAATTAAAAGTTCAGTAAAGGATTTAAATCGTTCAGACTCTTACTTTTTTTTAATTATAATTAAATTAATTTAATTAGTAATGATAATGATAATGATAATATTAAAAGGTTCATTTTAAATTCAAATTTATTTCTTCGACGTCGTTAAATGAAAAAAATTTAGGGCGATGTTTTGATGCTACGAATGACGAAATGATAATTAACGGTTTTTTTTTTTTTAAATGGAGGAGTCGAATAGTGCGTATTAATAATAAGACATTTTATTTATTTATTTATTTATTTTTTTTTTGGTTGGTGTTACGCAAAATGATTTTTACGCATAATTTTCTCCATTATTAAAATCGATTCGTTCTACGACATTTTGTTTATCGACAAGAGAAAAAGATTTTTTACTTATTTTTATTATTTTTTTTTTTTTGTTCAAAAGTTGTTTTATTTTCGAGTCTTTCTCTTTTTTTTTTTTTCAAGGGGTGTACGTTATATATTTTTAAAAACGAAAAAATTGTCTTTCTTTCTTTTTTACCCCTCCTCGATGACGTGTTAATAATAATAATAATAATAATAATAATAATATTTACACTCGATAATTAAGAAGAAAGAAAAAAAAAAAAAAAAAACTTTCACTTGATGGATGAATTAATTAAAAAAAAAACGACGACATTTAATTCAAATGCGTTTGTCTTCTCTTTTTATTTATTAATTGTTTAATTAATTAATTAATTAATTAAACTGAGTTTTTTAAATGATAATTTTTTCGTTTATGTTTCTTTCGAGTCATCGAAATCGATAATCGAAACGAATTTAAAGGAGGCGGGGGGGGGAAATTTTTATTATAAGACGAGTTAGAAACGGTATCCGAATTTTTTTAAATTATGTTTTTCTTTTTTTAAATTGAAAATTTTTCCTATTCTTGTACTCGATGTGAGAAAACCTGTTTAACTCGTTTTTAAAAAAACTCTCAATTTTCTCTTAAATGTTTTCGTAAAAAAAAAAAAAAAAGAGAAAGAGAAAAAGAGAAAGAGAGAAAGAGAAATATTCAAGTTCGAGGATTTAAACATATCGCATCGTATTTGATTATTTTTTTTTTTATTAAGGTATGCCAGGAAAATGATTTTTTTTTTTTTTTTTTAATAAAAAAAAACGTTTAAATAATAATAATAATAATAATAATAATAATAATAAACATAATTTCTCTCTTGCTGATATAAAAAAAAAAAAAAAACGTTTGATCAGTAATATAAAACTGAATAACGGATCGAATTCAAAAAAAAACTGAATATTTATATATAAAAATGTTGTCTCGTTTTTATTTTTAAATTTTATTTAATGTACTCTTTCTTCATCATTATTATTATCATCACAACAATTTTAGAGTACGTTTTGCCCCCTTTTGAAAAAAAAAAAAAAAAAGTGTTCGACCATAAGAAACGTAAAAGTTGTTGTTGTTGTTGTTGTTACTATTTTTAAATTTTTTGTTTTTATTTGTTTTAATGGGGAACGAATAAGATTTGCTGCGGTTAATTTTTTGCTAAGAGTAATTATATTGTTTATGGCAAATAATTTTTTTTTTTATTTCACGTTTTTTTTTTTTTTTTTTTGTTTTAAACGTCGTGATTAAGATGTTGTGAATGGGAAATAATGATTTAATAACGATCGAATTTATTTATTTATTTATTTTTTTTTTTTTTTGTTTCAGATCCTTCAAAATTTAGGAAAAGTCGACAGGACGGCCGATGAGATATTCGATGATCATTTACATAATTTTACAAGACAGCAAACTGCTGCCACGAGACTTCAAAAAGAATTTAACAATTACATTAGGTGCATACGGGGTTGGTAAAAAAACATAAACAAAAACAAACAAACAAATTTTTTTCTTAACATTTATTTTTGAACGTGGAAGGAAAATTTCACGTTTTAAAAGCGATTTTACAAAAATTCAAATTAAATTCAATTTGGATTTTTTCTTTTCTTTCTTTTCCTTTTTCTTTTTTAGTGTATAATCGGGTTAGTCACGACGCCATATAAAAACCATCATTGATAATTTTCCGTTTGAAATTTTGTTTTTTTTTTTTTTTTTTTCTTTTTATTTTCAAAATCAATTTTTTAGTCACGCCGTTCCTAAATTAAAAATAAACAAAAATAATCAAAATTAAAAATTAACGAATTTCTTTTACGTCTCAATTAATATTATTATCATCATCATCATCGTTTGCACTAAAAAAAAAAAAAAAGAAATATGAAGAAGAAAAGTCGAATCGAAAACGCTTTTAAAACGTTTTTTTTTTAGGCCTTTTTAAAAATTTATTATTTTGTATGTATGATTGGTTAAAACGTAAGCATTCGATTACATAAAAAAAAAAAAAAATTAAAATCGATCGATCGATCGATCGATCGATGGATCGATCACAATTTATTATTTATACATCTCATTAATTTTGTAACGATTTTTGTTTTCCTTTTTTACAATTTGGTCGATCTTCGCATTACGTAAAAATTTTTTTTTTTTTTTTATACGGAAATCATCATGGGAAAAAACAAACAAACAAACGAACAACCACGAGTTGTTGTTACAAGTTGAAAAATTTTTTAAAAATTTGGGTCAGATTTTTTTTTTTTTATTTAAACGGTTATATAATAATTTGTATTATAACGTTTTTTTTTTTTTTTTTTCTTTCGGATAGACAAGTGTCATTTTTTTTTTAATGTAATTTACTTACTCTATGATTTTTTTAACAGGTTGATTGTGAAATTTAAATCGCCATACACGCATGTTAATAATAATAATGATGATTTTTAAAAACGATTGATTTGTTTACAAGCCTTTTGATTTTTTTATTTTTATTTTGTTTGTTTGGTTGAATCAGCTGTTCAGACTGCGAGTAAAACGTTGATGGAAGCGGTTAGTGAAATATACGAGAATCAATGGCCAGGCCACGATCTTCTTTGCAATCAAATGCAAAATATAGAAATGTTATGGCAAGATTTCAGTCATAAGTTAGGGGACCAAGTATTAATACCACTTAACACATATCAAAGTCAATTCCCGGAAATGAGGGTAAGAGAAAGACACAAACAACAAACAAACGATCGAGTGTTAGCAGGAAAAGTGATTTTTGCTTTTTTTTTTTTTTTTCTGTGATTTCAACAGAAAAAAATTGACAAAAGAGGTAGAAAACTAGTCGATTATGACAGTCAACGTCACAATTTTCAATCGTTGCAATCGAATCCGAGGAAAAAAGACGACGTGAAAGTACAGAAAGCTAAAGAAAGTTTGGAAGAAGCCAAAAGAACCTACGAAATGTTAAACAGCGAATTGCACGATGAACTTCCGGCTTTGTACGATTCCCGAGTCATATTTTTGGTATCGAATTTGCAAACTTTGTTTACAGCCGAACAAGTTTTTCACTCGGAAACAGCAAAGGTACGTTTATGATGTATCCTGTAAAAAAAAAAAAAAATTTCCACAATGCGTTACCCATTCAAAACTGTTTCCCATTTACAACAGGTTTACAACGAGTTGGAAGCCATTTTAGACAAGCTGGCGACAGATTCACAAAGAGGACCGGGTTTGTTGAAAAAACAACCTGGAGGTACTTCTTCGAGTAATTTTAACGTCAACAACAAAGTTGGTTCTTCTCCCTCGTCACCAACTACGGCTCCAGGTGAATTTCCATAATCAATTTTTTTTTTTTTAAATTTGAATTTTATCCAATGCGCGACACAAATGGCTTAAATTCATCATTCAAAGCAGCAAAAACTGAGAAAAATTGAACCTTAAATCATTTCATGAAAGTTTTTGTTGCAAATCGATGATGATGATGATGATAATACACTTCTGTAATTAATTACATTACTTAATTACAGTCAATAATTATTATGAAGGTGAACGAAAAAAAAAAAAAGCTTTGAAATGTTTGCTGTTTTAATATTAATAATAATAATAATAATAATAACGATAATGTTAGTTTAATACGATTTTGATATGTGTGACGTAGCTTTTTTTTTTTTTTTTTTTTTTCTTTGAAAATCACCCGAATGAAAAACAGGAAAGTATTAAATAAAAAAAAAGAAAAAAAAAAAAAAGCGAACCCCGAGAAAGTTTTCCACGTCGCCGCCATTTTTCTTTTTTTTTTTTGAAGTGCTGCTTTTTTTTTTTTTTTTATAAAAAAAATTAACTCACGATTAGTTTTTGCATGGTGTTTGTTATAAATGTTATTTCCCGTTTTACAGTTGTCGAAATCCCTCCTCCTTCCGAATCCCCAAAATCCTCTCCCACCTCGGCTCCTCGACCAAGCTCATTAAATCTCAACAATGGTGTTGTTAACGGAACCGGAGATAAATCACCGTTTAGCCCGGATGTGCCGGTGACAGAATCTCCAGAAGGAGATACCACCGACACAACAACAACAGCAACATCGACGTCGGCGACAACAACAACAACCACGACATCATCGACAACACCAACAACCGCAACAACACCCAACAACAACAACGACGGCTAATAGTAAAAATGTTGAAGAATTATATGATATACCAGTGGGTGAGTATTTTTCCTTTTTTATTATTATTATTATTATCAGTGAAAAACGAACGACATGGGGATGATCACGTGAAGGTTTTGTTTTGTTTTGTTTTTTTTTTGGCTTTTTTTTCGTTTTGTGTGAAGTGATTTTTCTTTTTTTTTACACTTTTGCGATTAATTAATATGTGGTGCGGTTACAAAAAACGTTCAAATATTTTTAACCGTTAAAATAAATCTTTTTGTTTTTTTTTTTTTTTCAGGTGCCACCACTCACAATCTTCCCCCGGGAGTTCTTTACAGAGTTAAAGCCACGTATAAATACAACAGGGAAGATTCTGACGAACTTTCCTTCGACGTCGATGAAATAATACGCGTTGTAGAATATGACGATCCCGAAGAACAGGTACTCGAATTTTTTGTTTTTTTGGTTCCCCTGGGTTTTGGTGATGGACGCCTTTTCCACTACGAGTAATTATTCTTGCACCCTATTCCTTTTTTCCATCCTTTCCCAAAGGAAAACTGCTACCCGAAAATCATTTTTAAAAAGAATTTCCTTTAACGCCAACTACGAGCATTTTTCTAATATTCGCTTCTCGGCATGTAAAACAAAAAAAAAATTGCTTGAAGCTTTAAAAAGTTATAATATTATTCAACGACCGGGAAAATCTTGGAAAAAATTAATAAAAATAAAAAAAATACTGAAGATGAAGATGTTTGTTTTTTTTTGATTTTTTCGGGGGAAGGGTGGCTTAAGGGAATCCAGGAAAGTTCGGGAGAGAAGGGAATGTTCCCGGCCAAATTCACGAGACCCATACGAAAGACAAAAAAAGTTTTTTTTTTTTTTTTTTTTTGTTTTTTTTTTTTTTTAGTTTCAGCCGTTTCAGAGTTGCTTGATGGCGTCTTTACACGTAAATAAACTAACAAACCCCCCCCCACAAATACAAAAAAAAAAAAGTAAAAAAGTAAAAACAATCGGCAAAATGTTTGTCAACGTTGAAGTTTTTTTTTTTTTTTTTACATTTCGCCGAAAGTCGAATTAATATTATTATTATTATTATTATTATTATTATTATTATTATTATTAATAATTTTTACATGAATGCAATATATTTTAATGTCGACGACCAAAAAGAAATCATTATTTATTAGCTTTTATAAAAAAAAAAATTACTAACGCAGGCGCTATCCCAAACACAAACAAAAACAAACAAATGTAAACAATTATCAAAATACAATATGGCGGACATGGCGCGAATTATATTCGGACGCCATTTTGCAACAAGGCGGTGTGTTGTTGTCGTTGTTTTCTCGTTTATTTTAATCATTTAAATTTTCTTTCCGATTCGTTTAATTTTTAATTTTTTTTAATTTTATTTTTAGTCGGTAAAATATGTGGTAAAAACAAAAGAAAAAAATTATTTTTTAAATAATAAAAACTATTTAAAAAAAAAAAAAAGAAAGAAATTAGTTTATTCGCTTAGAATGTTAATTTTACAAAAACGAAAAAAAAAATAGAAAAAAAAAATTAAATTTATAAAATTAATAAATAATATGCAGCCTCTATTAATTAATATTATTGATTTATTCCTTGTTGTTAATTATTATTATTATTATTATTTAAGCATTCAATATACCGTCTAATGTTTTTTTTAAATATTTATTTATTAATAATAATAATAATAATGATTAATACGTGCATAAATTAAATATAAATATATATGTATAGAAATGCGTAATGATAAATTAATAATAATTGTTGTAATAATAATAATGACGATTGAAATTATGGTATGATGATAAACGTGTACAATGAGTGATACCATTTATTATTATTATTATTATTATCGTTTGGTGGCCAAAGTTTATCTTTTGTATAGTTGGTGCCATATTAAAAAAAAATTAACATTTAAATATAAAATTGAAATTTGTTATGAATCAATAAAAAAAAAAAAAAAAAGAGTTGCATATAAATTAAATTTTATTATTTAATTTTTTTGTTTTTAACCGTTATTTATTTAAATTTTTAAATAATTTTTTATTTTATTAATAATGACCTTTGAACTTTCAGACACACACACACACACTTTATGATTGGAAGTAATACTTAAAAATGTATCATTTAATTATTATTATTATTATTATTATTATTATTATTATTATTATTATTATTATTATTATTATTATTATTATTATTATTTATTAACTGTTTTTTTTTCGGTTTGCGAATCGTTGGTATGAATAAAGTGCCAATAAAAAAAAACGTTTCGTGCTTCCATTTTGAAAAATATTATTATTATTAATATTTTTTTGATTTGCAACTCTTATAATCAGTAAATTTCATTTTATTTTATAAATACATAATCGAGAGTAAAAATAAATAAATAAATAAATAAATATTTTATTTTAATAAAAACGTTAATTTTTAATTTTTTTGTATTGTTGTTGTTGTTAATTATGATGATAATAATAATAATAATAAGTATTTATACATATAAATTCAATATTCATTAATTTTTATTGTTTAAAAAAAAAGAAAAATTAATAGAATAAAAAAATGAAATATATATATATATATAGTTAATAAATAATTATTTAATTACTAACGCTAATTAATATTAATAAATGAAATAATGATGATAATAATAAATTTATTTTTTTAAAAAAAAAAAAAAAAGTATATGTATATTTTAAATTTATTTTTTTTTATTTTTGTTTTGACCACTATATCACAATATATCTGGTACAAAAAAAATAATTTAATGTTAATAAAATGTTACGTCATTTAATAAGAATTTGATAACGGATAAGTGATAATAACGAACAACAATAAAAATAAAATAAAATAAAAATAAATGAAAAAGAAAAGGTAATTAAAAAAAAAATTATTAATTATCATAAATTCAATTCCATCACATAAATTTGATTAAAATTTAAATGAAATAATAATAATAATAATACTAATTATTATTATTATTATTGTTATTACACTGTAACTTATTGTTATTACTGTTATTATTATCATTAATTTCTTTTTTATATACTTCTTTTGCAGAAGATTATGTGTAGGGAAGCCATTTTGTATTGATTAGCATTGTTCTTTTGTTCTTATTTAAAATAAAAAAACTGGCATTATTATTATCTTTTCGATTAAAATGGAACAATTTAAAAATAAATAAATAAAATAAAATAAAAAACTTGTAAAGAAATTTTGAATTGAAAATTATTTAAAAATAAAAAAAAAAAAATAAAAAAACAAAGTGCCTGTTTTTGTGTATGTGTTACTGCCAGATTCTTTTATTTTATTATAAATTATTATTATTATTATTATTATATTATTCACTTTGTAATATTTAGTAATTTTCTTTTGTTTTCCACTTATTATTATTATTATTATTGTTTTTTTTTGTATATCACACTGCCGGTAGAACTTTAATAATAATAATTATTAAAATGCTTTTATTTTTTTTTTTTTTTAAAATGGCAACTTGTTATTTTCATACATGTGTAAATCATTTTCTTTTTATTAGAGACTAACAAGACGTTAATATTTATATTAATAATAATAATAATAATAATAATAATAATATTAATTAAATATATAATATTAATATATATTAATTTAAAAATAAAAAAATAAAAATAAAAACTGTTAGTGCCTTTTTTTTGAATCTGGCCGTTGAAAAAATGTAAATGTGACATATATATATATATATATATATATTAAAAAAAAAAGTAAAAATATATAGTATATACTATACGTATTTATTTATATATATATATATATATATATAAATATAATTAAATTAATATAAATTTGTTTTATTTTAACGACGCCTTCATTTTTTTATTAATTTTTTTTTAAACGACAATACAAATAAGTTGGGATTGTCAATTATAGTCTTCCCTTATTTAATTATTTATTATTTTATGTAAAATCTCATAAAGTTTTTTTTTATTTATTTATATAATAATAATAATAATATGAATAATGTGAAATAGAAGAAAAGAAATAAATATTATATAATTATTTGATTTTATTATTATTATTATTTATCTTGTGTATATTATAATTGTGCTGTTTTTTTGAGTTCCCGCAAGTTTTTTTTTTTTTTATTATAAAAATGTAGAATTTTATTTGCTGATTATTATAAATATATACATATATATATATAATTATTACAAAATAATAATAATAATATGAAAATATGTTTTATTGTTTTCACTTGTTTGTTTTTTAATAGCAGATAATGAATAAGGTTTTTATTGTTGGTTCTTTATTATAAAATGTTTATTTTATGTTTTTACTGGCATGTATTTTATTTTTCATGTATACATAAATATATATATATACATATACATATATATTTATTAAAAATGTTATTAATATTTAATATTAATTTTATTTTGTTTTGTTTTTACTGTATAAAATTTTCTGTCTTTGTTGTCTTTTTTGTTCGAGTCTTTTAATTGTATTCATTAATGTTAGGTAAGTAGTTAAAAATAAAATTACAAAAATGTATTTATTAATATAAAATTTATATTTATTATTGCAGTTAGTAATGACGCAGTCATTAAAGCGATTTTATGTTAAAAAAAAAAATTAATTTTGAAATAGAAGCCATAACATTCTGACAATAATGGCTAATATAACAAATATTAATGAATAAAACATGGACGTGGGGGATTTATCACACTGATTTGAATATTTTGAATTATTTACAGCGATGGCTGGAGAAAAGCCATCGTCAAGTGGT